GCCATACGACCCAAAAGTGAAAGATTTATAAATCCCAGTATTTCTTCTCTAAGCTTTGCAAAAACAAAATTTTATTGACCTTTTTGGCTTGCAATCTGCTTCTCTGCTGTGTAAGAACCTGTGCGGCTTTTGAGAAAAGTCGTTCAGATGGAACTGAGCTAGCCACCATGGTTAAATATTTAAAAGTCACATTGGATAACGTTGGGAACTTTTTTTTTATAGTCTGCCCACACTTCTAATGGGTTTTCGTTAAATCTACTCACTGGAGTCCTCAAATAAAGCGATAACTCATCTGAAAGATTTTCATTGGTATTATTTGTTTTCCAATTTCGTTGAACCAGTTTATGGTGATCACTCCAGAGATCCGATGATTTTGTCTGAGTTGTCAGAGTCAGATTCCACAGTAGATTCATCCTGTTGATTCTTTTTAATCATCTCTTTTATTTTTAATTAATATCGGATGAAATATATCGATATTCAATTCGATACTAGGCGTTTCGATAATATCGGATGGAAGCGATATTATCGGCGTAATGTATCGATATTTTTTTAGTATCGATTTATATCGCCCACTACTAGCTTAACCTGCTCTGCACTACTCTTAATAAGTACTGGCACCTGGTTCTGCACCCACGCTTAGTGAGTCACCACTGGGTCCATAGAAATAAAGTAACAGTTTGTTATCTTCGTATTGTGGCTCAATAAAACTGTTGTCCCAGTCAACTGCATTGTTCTTTTGGCGGCGGCGAACCTGCACAGGGTGTAAGGGGTTCTAAATACACCTGCAAGAACCCAAGCCAACCTCACCTTCACGTGGTGCACCCTGTTGACCAACAGACGAGGCTCTGGCAAACCGACCGATGGCGGTATAACCATCCAATGACGTAGGGGAGGAAAATGTCACTGGTGACGGGCAGCAGCGTCATCAGTAAACAAACCTACGCTCTGCGATCGCCAACCCGCCTGCCCAGCGTGGCGATTATGGGCAAAACCTTCATGCACAAGAAACTCAAGCCACGGCCCCCAGTTCCCGGCAGCCCCGCTATTCCTGGTCACGGTGGCGACCACGGTAACGGTGGGGCGGGGGGTGCCAAGAATCTCCGGGCTACGGGAGGCCACCACAAAAGACTGACCCTGGCGACGTACAACGGACGCACGCTACGGCTTGACTCGCATCTGGCGCAACTCGAGGTGGAACTTGGAAAGATTAGGTGGCACATTTTAGGGTTAAGTGAAGTCCGAAGAGAGGGGGAGGACACCATAACCCTCGAATCGGGCCACCTAATGTACTTCCGCGGGGGAGACTAACAGTCCCAAGGTGGCGTTGGGTTTTTGGTAAATAAGTCCCTTGCCGATAACGTTGTGGAAATGTCCAGCGTGTCGAACAGGGTAGTGTACCTTATTATAAAGCTCACCGAGAGGTATAGCCTCAAGGTGGTGCAAGTGTACGCACCGACCTCGACACACTCGGACGACGAAGTGGAGGATATGTTCGATGATATATCGAGGGCCCTCCACTCCACTACTAAGACCCACTACAACGTTGTTATGGGGGACTTCAACGCTAAAGTGGGAGTACAGAATTGCAGCGAATCGGTAGTAGGATCCCATGGATTTGGAAGCAGAAATCATAGGGGGCAAATGCTCGTCAACTTCCTCGAACAGCAGGGGCTCTTCTTGATGAACTCTTTTTTCAAGAAACAGCCCCAAAGGAAGTGGACATGGCAGAGCCCCGACACTATGACTAAAAATGAGATCGATTTCATCATGACGGACAAGAGGTACATATTCAGAGACGTCTCCGTGATCAACAGGTTCAATACCGGTAGTGATCACCGACTCGTCCGGGGCTCTCTGAATATCAACTTTAAGGCCGAACGCGTCCGTTTAATGAAATCCAGGCTCCAACCTACTTTGCTCCAATCTATAACAGGATCTGAAACGTTCCAGTCAAATCTGGAGAACCGATTTGCTGCCGTGGAAACCACATCAGACGTAAACCAAAACCTCGAAAATGTGGTTCGGATTCTCAGGGAAGAGGGTACGAAACTATGTGCAACGCAGCGTAAGGGCAGGAAGTCAAAGCTTTCGGAAGAGACTTTAGGGCTAATGAAGGAACGACGTGAAAATCCACCCGTCACTTCGTCGGCAAAGCGGACTCTAAACCAAGAGATCAGTAAGCACGTACGACACGACCTCCGATGCTCCAATACTCTCTCGATCGAGAGAGCGATCGAGCAGAATCGAGGGTCCAAAGTGTTCGTACAATCTCTTGGAAGAAGCCATCTGACGAAGTTGACCACAGCAAGTGGGGAAGTTGTTGCTTCAAAGCCGGCAGTCCTTTCGGAAGTGGAAGACTTCTACAGCCAGTTATACGCATCACATGCATCTCGACCTGATCCCGGAAATGAGGATTCTAGAGCCACATTAACACGCCACTTCACCGAAGACCTGCCAGAAGTCAGTATTGGCGAAATCGAGATTGCTCTTGGACAGCTTAAAAATGGAAAAGCCCCTGGAGAGGATGGTGTTACAACAGAACTCTTGAAGGCTGGAGGTAAACCCGTACTGAGGGAGCTCCAAAAGCTTTTTAACACTGTCCTGTTCGAAGGGAGAACTCCGGAGGCGTGGAGCAGGAGTGTGGTCGTCTTGTTCTTTAAAAAGGGGGACAAGACCCTTCTTAAGAACTATCGACCCATATCCCTTCTAAGCCACGTCTATAAGCTGTTCTCAAGAGTGATCGCGAACCGTCTTGCGCGAAGATTTGATGACTTCCAACCACCGGAACAGGCTGGGTTTCGGAGCGGATACGGCAACATAGACCACATCCACACAGTGCGGCAGATTATACAGAAGACTGAGGAGTACAATCGGCCCCTGTGCCTAGCATTTGTGGACTATGAGAAGGCCTTTGACTCGATTGAAATCTGGTCTGTCCTGGAGTCCCTGCAGCGTTGCCAAGTCGACTGGCGATACATCCAAGTGATAAGATGTCTCTACGAAGCCGCCACCATGTCTGTCCAAGTACAGAATCAGCAAACAAGTCCCATACCGTTGCATCGTGGAGTGAGACAAGGGGACGTTATTTCCCCGAAATTGTTCACTAATGCAATGGAGGATATGTTCAAGACGCTGAACTGGAAACGACATGGCATCAACATAAATGGCGAACGCATCTCTCACTTGCGATTTGCAGACGACATCGTCATCATGGCAGAAACCCTGCAGGACCTACAACAGATGCTGAATGACCTGGCTGACTCTTCTATACGCATCGGCCTACGGATGAACTTGGATAAAACCAAGGTCATGTTCAATGAACATGTTCTACCGGAACCGATTGCAATACACGGTACCGTTCTCGAAGTTGTTCATAAATATGTATACCTCGGGCAGACATTGCAGTTAGGTAGAAACAACTTTGAGGACGAGGTGAATAGAAGAGTTCAGCTAGGTTGGGCAGCGTTTGGGAAGCTACGTCAAGTCCTGACATCGTCGATCCCACAGTGCCTAAAGACGAAAGTCTTCAATCAGTGCGTCCTACCTGTGATGACATACGGAGCCGAGACGTGGACACTGACGGCACGGCTGATCCACAGGTTCAAAGTCGCTCAACGCGCTATGGAAAGGGCTATGCTCGGCGTTTCTCTGAAAGATCGCATCAGAAATGAGGTAATCCGACAGAGAACCAGAGTTATCGACATAGCCCACCGGATTAGCAAGTTGAAGTGGCAGTGGGCTGGCCATATTTGCCGAAGAACCGATAACCGTTGGGGTAGACGAGTTCTGGAGTGGAGACCGCGTCTAGGCAAACGTAGTGTAGGACGTCCTCAGGCACGGTGGAGTGACGATTTGCGCAAGGTGGCTGGCAGGAGCTGGATGCGAGTAGCCCAAGATCGATCTGAGTGGCGTGCATTTGGAGAGGCCTATGTCCAGCAGTGGACTATGATAGGCTGTTGATGATGATGATTGATGAACCTGCACAGCATCCTCATACTTCTCCCACGTACTACAATAGTTAATTCTAGGCCCCAGAATAATAAAAGATGAAAGAGCAATAGCTCGTTGGTGGAATGCCACACATAGGATTAAACGGATTGGTGGATTCTTTAAGTGCTCAGCTCTTTGCTCTGCGTTAGTTTTTGGTTAATTGTTGTGTAATTTTATATAAGTATGTTTTTTTTTTGTTTATTTATTTTAAACTTTATTGACCAAAATACAATAGAATGGTACAAAAGGCGGACTTAATGCTAACAGCATTCTCTCCCAGTCAACCTTTGGGAAAAAAATAGAAAAACGCGAACGACGGTATAAAGCTAAATATACACATAAATATTGAAATAATAAATAATATTAAAAGTATATACGAATTAACATAGATACATATATAAATACATACTATGAAAGGAATACATATACATACATACATACCACAATTATATTTAAATATATATATACACATGATCATGATTAATTAAAGTGACTCTTTATCTTAAATTTTGAAGCAGATGAGTGCGAACATTCCCTTTAAATATAACTTTATTTTTTTGTTTATTGTTTATTATTATTTTTAAAAGTTTTTGTACATACGTGTCAAAGTCTGTAAAGGTTTATTTTGAATTTTATTTTGATTCGATTTAACGATTTCAGATGCAGGCATGACATGTCTTTCGAAGTATAAAGGAAGTCGAGACAAAAAAAAGTTTTTCGGTCACCCATCCCGGAACCGACCACTATTAAAGTTGCTTAACATGCACATTCGACAAATACTCATGTGGCGCGTCCTTAGATATTATGTTTGCGTAGTGTAGGGTTGATTGTCTGTTAACAATGACTTCACGGGATGAAAAAAAGAGGAAGCCAGTTTCTGCTGATTACGAACGCATTGACTTGCTTCTAGAAGCATGAAGAAGGCCGACACAAAAAAAAATTTGGTCACCCATCCCATAATCAGTCACAATAAACATTGCTTAACATTCACAATCGTGATAAGTACTCACGTGGCGCGTCCTCAGATATGTCGGTGTAGTGGTGCGGCGCGGACGCCTGGCCCGCGTACAGCAGGTTCAGTTCCCGGGCCTCGTTCTCTTCTTGTGCCTGCTGCCGGCGAAGCGCCACCTTCCAAATAAATAATATCATCATCATCATCAAACCTATGAATGCCTTATATTTTAAAGAAAGAAAGAAAGAAAGAAAGAAAGAAAGAAAGAAAGAAAAACATTTATTGGTTGCACAGCATACATACATTGAAAACAAAACAGATTTGAAAGAACATAACAACAAAGAAAAAAAAAACAAATAATAATAAACAAAAAAACAAAAAATCAACAACTAAACTAATCTGCTGGTGTTGCTGTGCAGGGCCAACAGGTCGCTGTCTCAGCTATGCTAAAGAAAATTTTACTAGAAACAATTCCACGCGGACCAGGCAGCAAACGGGACTCGAACCCACACCCTTCGGTATACGGGCGAATGCATTGACCACTATGCTACCGCGGCCCCGATGGCCGTGCCGAATTTTCTTTAAAATTCAAAAAAATTCAAAATTCAATATCGTTTATTCAGTCTAGGCTGTTACAAGCACTTGTGAATGTCGAAAATTTAGAGTTTTTTAGGCTGCAAGGTAGCGTAAATTCTCTGTTGATTTAAACATCTAGCAGGTAAATGCTTAAAAAAATATGTATATTATTTTATTTTTCATATCGTCTTCGGTTATTTTACTAAATATGTAAGAGAGATTGCAGGCTACATATCTGTATTTAGTAGCTTCGCCATTGAATTGTAGTAAAGCAGTGTGTGGGTAGAGAGGACAACATCACAGCAAATATAAGGAGCAAAGCGATGAGCAGCGCGAGGAGCATAGTGTGGCAGGTCTCATCATCATCAGCCTGTTAATGTCCCCACTGCTGGGGCACAGGCCTTCCCTATGGATGGAATGGACCATGGAGATTGGACCATGACCTACCACGCTAGCCCAGTGCGGATTGGTGGGTGCTAACGACTGCAGATGCAGCCGGGACCAACGGCTTAACGTGCCCTCCGAAGCACGGAAGAGCTCGAGATAGTAAGTTTTGGTCACCCATCCAATGACCGACCACTGCGAAAGTTGCTTAACTGCAACGATCGCAGCCGAACGTACTAACCACTAGCGCCAAGGTTACCTAAACATTTATAAGTATTAGAACTCATCAAAATTGGCTCAGCGAGAGAGTTATGTTCCAAAATTTCAGAAAATCATTCCGTCTGTCGTCCATTAGGCAGTTACAGTAAACACTTTAGTTATTTTTTTAAGATACTACCGCTTAAATTGTTTTTGGTATAATAGTATCCTGGTATGTCTCATCCAATTCAGGAAACCTATTCTATAGTGTGCTAAATTTCACCCAAATCCGTTCAGTTGTTTTAGCGTGTTGGAATAACAAAAATCCAAACTTTACCTATTTTTTTTTATGGCGAGGTAGGCAAATGACCACTTGCGCCATCGAGCACCTCGGCAGGTCTAATAGATTTAAAATAAAGAAATGAATGTTACCTGTGCAGCCATGACTCTCTGCCGCTCCGCTATGAGGGTGCACTTGGCGCATACGCAGTCCCGCCACCGGCAGTACCGCTTGTGGCCCTTGAGGGCGGACACTACGCCGTGGTTGCGGCAGCGCGCGCACTTCGGCGTCCTCTGCCGGGGAACGAACAACTGGTTACTTAGTATGCACTCTCATCATAATACCGACATACTGGTGACATCAAATCCAAATTCAAGTGCTTTATTTCCATACCTTATTATTACATTATATATATAAGTATTAAAATGAATTGGAAAAAGGAGTAGGCACAGCGCAGCTGGTTTTAAGCCTACCCATCGTCAAATTTTTGTGGTTAGTTATACAATTAAAAATTCATTCAAAGCTTAGTCAATTCAATGCCACGTTATATTTAAAATGTCATATTTTTTTACTAGTCAATTACAATTTATATTATTCTTCCACACAATTAATGTTAAATATATTAATTACAATGTCAATTTATTTAGACATCACTGACATTCTACCTACAAACTATTGATATCACTAGCACATAACCGACAAACTAGTTATATTACTAGCACATAACTGACACACTAGTGATATCTTCAGCACATAACCGACAAACTAGTGATATCACTAATGTGCATGTAATGCTAGGAATGCACTTTCCAACTATAATCAAGTTGTTATTGATAAGCTATTGATATTTCTAGTATGTATAAAGAGTTGGGAATATGGTTCCAGCCACCGGCAGTACCGCTTATGGCCCTTGAGTAAAGACAACGCTGTGGTTGCGGCAGCGCGCGTACTTCGGCGACTTCTGCCGGGGAACGAACAACTAGTATGCACTTCCCAAATTTTATCGAGTTAATACAGACAAACTAGTGATATCACTAGCATGCATGTGGTGCTAAGAATGCACTTTCTAACTATCATCAAGTTGTTACTGATAAGCTATTCATATCTCTAGTATGTAATGCTGAGAATATTACAGATTCCAACCACCGGCAGTACCACTTGCGGCCCTTGAGTGCGGACACAAAATCAATCAAAAATCATTTATTCACTCTAGGCTGTTACAAGCACTTGTGAAAGTCGAGAAGTTACGCCATCGGTTCGCAAAACTACGATGGGAGACCATGTACTGAGAAGAACCTCAGCAGGGGCTGTTTTTTTGTCCCTGTATTATTATATACAGAATCGTCAAGTTGAAAAATTACTTCAAAGATAATTCTGAAGCCACCTTCCATTAAATAATTTAGAACACGCAACTTCTCCATATAATTTGAAATCAAGCTAACGTTTCTAAATAGTAAAATGCATGTGTTTGTAGCCTTTATTGACTTTAGTTATTGATACTAGCAAATAATATGGTGCTGGGAATATTAGAGATTCACACCACCAACGGGGACCAGAGCACTGGTTACTACTCGTAGATATGCACTTTAAAATCATAAAAAAATAAACAAAACGGTTCACTTACAACAACGGCGATTATTTCGTCGTTTATTTTTTTATAGTAGCTTTATGAAGTTAATACTGACAAACTAGTGATATCACTAGCAAATATATGCCGCTGGGAATATGAGGGATTCCTAGTAATTGAATCATTGTATTGTATGAATATGTCAACGGCAATCTGTAGAATGGCTGAATAAATACTAGACAATGTATAGAATGCCTGGGGCCTTGACGGCAATGTATGGAATATTATTAAGATTATTTTCATTAGAAAATGTATATATAGTACATTTTTAATATCCCAAAGAACAAACGGTACTAGAATTTATTATTAATATACCACATTATTACGCTATTCGAGTCTCTATTGCACTTTTCTGTTGTGTTTTTCTATCGAAAACCTAAACGCAATTTTTGCATTTAGGTATTTGTTTTGTTTATTTAAAAAGCTCACCCTTGAGCTAATGAAATAATTAATGATAGTGTGTGTAAAATTCTTTATCAACAACTATACTTTTAACAAAATGTCACTAGTTAAAGTGCTTTTAATAAAGCAAAACGTTTCAAGAATATCGCGAAGATAAATTTTTTGATTGTCTTTCAGTCATGTTTCATTGTAATTCCAATTATATTTTTTTTAATGCAAGAAAACTTTTATACAACATTAATAGTTTATAAGAGAATTGCGATGCCCTTATAGGGCTCTTGTTTGGGACTAGAATTAATCTTAAAAGAAAACAACAACAAGAATGCAATAAAATTAATAAGTAAATAAATAAAATTGCAGTATATGAAGTGGTCTGATATATGTGTATACTTAATGTGGCACATATGCAGGTATATTATAATTATTATTGTATTTTGTTTTGTCGATGTAACACCTACCCCCCTTTCTTCCAGTTATTCATTCATTAAATAGGCAAACAGAGTGCAGTTATTACATGGGTAAATAAGTAAATATATGTATTATAGATATTACACCGGAGTTACTCCGTGATCAAGATTATTACCGTGTCAAGGCGCTTGCAACAGTGCCGAAATATCGGAGACTCATAAAAAACAAGGTACATGGTAACAATCCCGTTAATAGCTATAATGTTAGTGACCATGAAAGTTTAAAACAATATAAATATATGTAGTTGAAATCTAAACTGCCATCCACAACAGCAAAAGCAATATTAATGGCATTTTTTTTCACACAGATTGACACAACTATCAATTCTTCGCCAAAAAATGGTAATAAAAATATGATTAGTGATTTCAACCTGCATTACCAAAGCCTCATTACTTATTACAATTCTTCTGTTATGATGCTACGATGATAAATAAATAAATATTTCCAACACTCACACCAATTAGCCTAGCCCCAAAGTAAGCACTATAAGGCTTGTGTTATGGGATACTAGGGTATAAGTATATTTTTATAGAAAATTCTTAATAAACATCCATGACTAGAGTAGAAATGCTCGTATTCATCACACAAACATCTGCCCTAACCGGGATTTGAACCCGGGACCTCTCGAGTCGGCGACACCATGAAACTCGGCGTACAAATCACTCGGCCACGGAGGTCATCAAATGATATTTGTTTTCAACTCCGAAGTCTTTGATCAGACCATGACAGTTTTTCTATGGGACCATTTCGGAAGTAACTGTACCCTTGCAATTCCAAAAAAGAATTTCGAAAATGGGCCCTAATCGACGGAGATATATTAACACGTAAAAAACAACATAGTAGGTAAGTTTTCGTCGAAGATTAATTTGCTCATTTAATCATGTTTCAGTATATTTAGTTTTCATTTTTTTTATCTGATTTTAATTTTGTGTTTACGAATTGCTGTTTGGTATGCTCCCCTAATGTCCTCATCAATTCCTTCATACATACATACAGTGCTCTTTGTTCCACTTTAATATAATTCTCCTCATTAGCTTATTGTATTGTAACTGTTACTGATTGTCCTTAAAATATATAAATATGTAAACATCTTTTTTGTAGTTAGTTGCAATTAGATAAAAAACCTGTACTATTTGAACATTATAATTAAACACTTACCCTTTATCAATAAAAGCAGAATAAACTTGGATAAGTTATTCCATCCAAAAGAAGAAATATTAATTTGTTTCTTAAAAACAGTGATGTTCACACACTTAATACAAGAAACAAAAATAAACTAACTTTACCTACTACCAGGCTTCACAAAATCAATAATTCCTTTAAAGGTCTTTGTGTTCGCTTATACAATAAAGTCCCAAGCAATATCCAAGAGTTAACCATAAATAAATTCAAAGATTTATAAAAAAAGCACTTATTAAAAAAGTGTCTGATTATATTACAGACAAAAATGCTTGGGTTTGAACTGTTCCAATCATTCCAATAGGTTTTCTATATTAAATAAATCATGATTGTATTGACGTTGTCACAACATAATGATTTGTAAATGTTGTTACATTATACTTTTAATGTTGTGGAGGTTTTTTCGCTCGTTTTTATCCGCAGCTAAAAAATATGTCCAATAACGAGTGGTAGAGAAAAAATGTTTGGACGATTCAAAAGTGTTGTACTATACATCCAATTTTAACAAAGATATATTGATTTCTGATTTCATGTTTTGTCTCTGTTCATTGAATAACAAATGGTATTTGATTCGAACTAAACACAGCGTAATTAATCTAGGCTTATTACTTGTTTATTAAGAAGTGGGTAATAATGTAACATATATCTTTAGTCATGGTACTTATTCGATTATATTATTTTACATTTATATCGTCATCATCAGCCTATTAATTTCCCCACTGCTGGGGCACTGGCCTTCCCTATGGATGGAATAGGGAGATTAGGCCATGACCCACCACGTGCCTACGTTAAAGTGCCTTCCGAAGCACGGAGGAACTTGAGATAGAAGATTTTGGGTCACCCATCCAACGGTCGACCATTGCGAAAGTTGCTTAACTTCAACGATCGCAGTAGAACGCGCTAATTTATATTTTATTTTTACATTTATATTACACAATCCGATTACTAAAAGTGTGTGGAATTATATTAGGTTGTAATTAAATTCTTACATATTTGTGTGTTAGTATCCATACTGCCGTTCTCAAACTAAAACGCGGCTAGATGACAAAAACAACTTGTGAGATATGGCCAAAAAACTGCACGTAAACTTTAAATTATTGCTATTTTGTAACCATTCATCACATGTCGGATTTTTAGACTAAAACTATAAAAGATACGAATAGAGAAATAAAAACTGTATACGAAGAATTTACTAGAAAAAAATCCACGCGGACCAGGCAGCGGACGGGACTCGAACCCGCACCCTTCGCAATCCGGGCGAATGCACTGACCATTATGCTGCCACGGCCCTATTCGCCGCGTCGAAATTTTCCTAGCCTTAAGCTGCAAGGCAGCGTCATCTCTTCGCATTGTAGGTAAACCGCAAAACTTTTTTTCTACTAAACTTTTCTTTAGATTAAAAACATCTAGCAGTTAAATGCTTAAAAATAAATAAAAACATAACTGTATACGATGCAATTTAAGACTGAAAAATCGACCACATGTCACTTAGCCACATTTTAGTTTGAGGACGGCAGCATAGTAAAAACTCTGTTAAAAATGATTTGTATTAGTTAGCCGAATATAAGGTACCATGCCCCTATCTCACAAATTAAATTATCGCATTTCATAAATCACAAAGTAACGATTCTTTATGCTATTATTATTACATTACCATTATAAAGCAATGTTATTAAGCTATCGGGTAACAGTCTCCCCGCTACTATTATACAGTAGTTATAAAGCTGTTATACAATCTCTATACAAACATAAGTATCTATTACTCAGGAAGTGTTATGGGATACAGTTATTTTCGATTCATTGTAACCGAATTATTAGCGAACACGTTTACTTTGGTTGCTTATTGTGATTGTTGTGTGATGTGGAGGTTATTATGGCTTTCATTGGGAATTTTGATTTTATTAAACAATGTTTGGTGTAACTTTTAAAAAATATGAACGATTCAAAAGAGTCGTATTGTGCATCCAATTTGAATATAGATATTTTGACTTTTGACTTTTTTCCGGTTTATGCAGCGCCTGCAACAAAAACTCTCAAATTGAATATGTTGCAAATAAGGGAAATATTTTTTCCCTTATTTGCAACTTATTTCATTTACCGCTTCTATTAGTCGTATCGTTATGTTTAAGGGCCTTCCACGATAAATGCACTATCCAACGATTTTTTTAATCGGACCATTCTTGAGATTAGTTCTCAAATAAATAAACAAGTAATCAAACAAACAAGCCCTTCAGCTTTATAATGTTAGCATAGATATAGATTAAAGTACTGGATGTTTGTATTTGTCTAAAGTTAATTTGACTAGTATGTATGTATATATATATACACAGTCAGGTCATAAGTATTGTCACACAGTAAAAACTTTTCTTATAGAATGCTGGCCACAAAAAAGTTAATTGAATTCGAATTTCGAATTTTTCAAGGAAATAAAAATAAATACTTTTTTGAATTTTACTCATTTTTAAATATGGAATGGACGCTTAAAGAAGACCGTGTTGCAGTTATTGAGTTGTATCGTTGCGGTTACGCGCCAATTCTAATTTTTGACATACTGAAAATTTTGAATATAACCAAAAGATTCGTTTATCGTACCATCAAACGATACAATGAAGACTCTAGTGTAGATGACAGGTCAAGAAGTGGTCGCCCTCGGTCTGTTAGGACTCCAGCAGTGGTAAAAGCTGTGAAGGCGCGACTTCAAAGAAATCCGAAACGTAAGCAGAAACTGTTGGCCCTTCAGTTAAGCAGAACCACGGTGAAAAGGGTGGGTGGTAAACGAAGACTTAGGGCTTCGGGCATATCGAAGAAAAACAGGACATCGTTTGAATGCTCGTCTAATGGACCTGAGACTGAAGAGATGCCGCGCTTTGTTGATGTGGTACGAGGAAAAAAAATATCGGGAAATTCTTTTTTCGAATGAAAAAATTTTTACCGTAGAAGAGAGCTACAACAAACAAAATGATAAGGTGTACGCACACAGTAGTGAACAAGCGAGCAACCGTATACCGCGTGTCCAACGAGGGCATTTTCCATCCTCGCTCATGGTATGGTTAGGAGTTTCTTATTGGGGCTCAACAGAGGAACATTTTTGTGAGTAAAGTGTAAAAACGAATGCAGTTGTGTATCAAAATACAGTCCTGACGAACCTTGTGGAACCTGTTCCTCATACCATGTTCAATAACAGGCACTGGGTATTCCAACAATATTCGGCGCCAGCTCATAGAGCGAAGAGCACACAAGACTGGCTGGCGGCGCGTGAAATCGACTTCATCCGGCACGAAGACTGACCCTCCTCCAGTTCAGATTTGAGTCCGTTAGATTACAAGATATGGCAAAACTTGGAGGACAAGGCGTGCTCAAAGCCTCATCCCAATTTGGAGTCACTCAAGACATCCTTGATTAAGGCAGCCGCCGATATTGACATGGACCTCGTTCGTGCTGCGATAGACGACTGGCCGCGCAGATTGAAGGCCTGTATTCAAAATCACGGAGGTCATTTTGAATAAACTTTATTGTCATAAGAATCTATGTTTTGTTAAGTTCATTTTGGTATATAAATGGTTACATAATGAATAAACTCGTTTCCATTATTTTATATTAAACGTGTGACAGAATTTATGACCTGACTAGGTAAATATATTTATATGTGTACCAGTATATGTATTCTATCCGTTACTCTAGTATCCCATAACACAAGCCTACAGTGCTTACTTTGGGGCTAGGCGTATAAAAAATTAAAAAAATTGTCTAGCTTGGAAACGAACTATTTAATAAATTAGTGATATTAGGTAGATTCAATAACAGGATAAGTTCATTGTACGGAACCCTAATACAACGAGGCCAGACTAGCGCTTGGCCTGTGTTTTAATATAGGTAGGTACTGCGTCCACTTATGATTTCTCACGAAAAGAGTCGTATGAAAAGACGGGGCGTTTTGTAAACTGAAAAAGTATAGGTATGTTCTAAAAACAGTAACTACGTATTTTAAAATTTAACAAAACAATACACCGACTTCATCGTCATTTCCATTAAAACTTGACATTGAGAACGAAATCGGGATAATTTTAAAAAATTAAGAAATTTTTACTAATATTTACTTAATACATCTACGCGGTCAATACTTAACGCAGCGGAGGCGGGTTTTCTGGTAAAGTTATCTTTAGATTTAAAATCTAGTTAAATGCTTTAAAAAATAATAATTTTAAAATTGTCACTGGTTTAAGTAACCTTTATTTTTACATCGATTTAGCTTCTTAAGAATATAAGCGGCCGACGGTCGCAAAAACACGTCTCGTTAGAATATTAATCTAGTTCAAAAAAAAGGAAATATATCATTAATTTAGTTACTACTTTATATTAAGATCAAAATAAGTATTTTTACTCTTCCTCTGGTAAGAGAAAATTCAAATTCATCTCCTGTAACTAAATATGAAGGTTTTACTGTTCAATTTTTATAAAGTGATCCGAAGAGGCAGATGGAAGATAAAGATAGTTTTTAGGCCAAAAAAACTTGAGCTGTTTAAACAGAATTATATGTATGTATGCAACTGTAGCAATGCAAGCAATACCTTTAATTTTTAAATTGTCATCTACGACTTAATATTTCATTTGTTGTAAAATTCTTTCACAAGTGTCAAGCTTTGAGCCTAGTAAGGAAAATATTTTTTCTACTTTTTTTTACATAAGAATAAAGCCGTATCGCCTTATTTTGCAGATAATGTGTTTGAATTAACAGAATGAACTGTAAACCACAAAATAAACTGACCAACCTTACAATTTGGAAAGTTAATTAATTTGCGAATATTTCAGAGTTATTGCTGCTATTTGTTTTAAGCGTTTTGAGCTTTTATGCTTTTACCTACATGCCTGGAAAAGAAGATTTACAAACCACAAAGAATCTAAGTACTGAGAAGAAGAATAAAATATAACATTTACCTGATATCTCTCGGAGGCTCTCAGGAAGAAGGGCGGCAGAGCGGCCAGTACCGGGTGCTGGACCAACTGAGACACATCCACGCCGTTCGGCAAAGACATTTCCATTATAATCCCTCGAACTACAACTTAGCAAAAACTAAACGCAACCGGCGTTAGTTTATGTTACAACCAACCTCAAACACACGACTGTCGCATCTTATAACACACGCCACAAAAAAAAAAGATTATTAAAAAAAAAACAAAGTCCAAACGCAAACACGGAGAACGAAACGTCACAATTGCGTCAAACGGAACGCGACAGTAAAAGCTGCGGCGCGCTTCGGGTTGTTACCAACACTGTTGCTTCATTTTCGGCGAGCGCACAATCTGACAGTTGCCGGGGCGCGAGCGAAAGAGACGGAGCGAGTGCGAAACGACACACTGTATACAAGCACTAGCCACGTCTCGCTCCCGCTATAGTGTTAACTGTATATGTTGTATCATCCGGTTATATAAAATGTAGTCAGATGAGAGCTTCGCGAGCACCAATGGGGAGGGCCGCCGACCCCGCCTCTGCTCTCCCATTGGCTGTTCCGAATGCTGAAACTTAATTTATAAAGGTGACTTTTTTGAGAACCAGTTTTTGTATTACCGGACAAAGAGCTATTGAATGAAGCACAAAAACACACAATTATGTTTGTTATTCGCGTTCAGGATTCGGATTCTTTTTTTAATATTTATTGTAGAGGTTTTTGTTTGTTAATGTGCGCTGTTGTCGGGTCAATATGGATAATATTCGAGTGGTATATTTAGATCTGTCTGCGATTGCTTTTTGTTGGTCGCATTAAGCCACTAAATCGGCGTAATACGTTCTGACACTGCACACACTGCGATGTTTATCTCGGTTCTTTGTACAAACTACTCTTTAATGTCTAAACACACTTCGACCATGAGAAAATTCAATGACAACCATTATACAAAACGAAAATGACAATTAAAATCGTGTCTTATAAACTCTTCTTCTTCAACAATGAAGTTAGAAGAAGAACAATAAGGTCTGTTATACCATGAAGTTGGTACGGAACGGAATGGAATTCCGCAAATTCAAATTTGGCAAATTCAAACGACGTAAAGTCAACGGTTGCGATCTTAATTCCGAATTCAATTCGAATGTCGTATCGTCGGAGGCGGAAGGTGCGTTCTAAATTGAAATATTTCAATTTACTTGTCGGCGGGAATTCGATTTAAATTACAATGAGAATCGGCGGGAGGCGGCCAGGAGGGGCAGGGGAGTGAGGCGGGGGAGGGGGAGGGGGAGAATAGAGTCGTAATTATCAATGTATAACTGAATGTCTGCGCGTATTGTGTTTAAACCGATCGGGAATTCGATATAGCTCAAATACTTAGACGTTTTTTGAGGAGCTCGATGGCGCAGGTGGTTAGCGCGTTCGGCTGCGATCGTTGAATTTAAGCAACTTTCGCAGTGGTCGGTCATTGGATGGGTGACCAAAAATATACTATCTCGAGCTCCTTCGTGCTTCGGAAGGCACGTTAAGCCGTTGGTCCCGGCTGCATCTGCAGTCGTTAGCACCCACCAATCCGCAGTGGGCCCGCGTGGTGGGTCATGATGACCCAGTCAACCTATTCCATCCATAGGGAAGGCCTGTGCCCCAGCAGTGGGGACATTAATAGGCTGATGATGATGATGATGACTTAGACGTTTTTTAAATGTAATGCTTGTTTAGTGTGACGTCCTGGTCTTGCGATCATCGAAGACTGTAAATGTTAATCGATTGAACTAAAAAATAAAATATATTTAAAAAAAATATATTTACCCCCTTATTAATAAACGATGAATAATCTTTGACTAGTTACGCCGTGTTTACAGTTGTCATTCAATGAGCAGAGACAAAATCTAGAGTAACTAATCCAAGCTTATTCTGCGTTTATAAATAAGGTGGTTAGAGTGTTAGGAATCTTAAACTATGATGCATATATCTAGCATCGAATTTAGAATAGATACTCCATCACAGTATCACCTGACCCATTCCATACCCCGAGGAGTCCTGGAATCCTTAATCACTAGCTGATATGTAGGTACACCAAAATATCAAGGCATTACACCATTACACCGTCATTTTCTTTATGGTGATTTTTTACTTCCAAAGACGGGTGCTCAAATTCAAGCTTAAAATCCATCAATCTCTCTCTTAAGCACGTGTAAGTAACTATTATTGAATATTAAGGGTGTTAATTATCATAAATTTTATAAAAATAAATTTTCTAAATTAAATAACACAATAATTATTTAAAATGTTGGATTTTTCTATACATAATAAGGTTAAGGATACCCAATGACTTTCAGCCTATTATCTCAATTTTATTTTCCTACCAAATCCCGAATAGGCTTATTAAAAACTACGAATACAAACGTATCTAGGCCTATATAAATGATTAAATTTAGTCAGAAAGCTTTGCAAAACTCGAATTCAATGACTCTCGCGAAACTAAAAGCAATAAAGTAGGTGGGACAATGAAACTTCCTAACTGAGTTTTTACATTGTCCGATCAGATAAAAAAAATAATCAAATTAAAAAAACAAACACACACTTTCTGAAACTGGTACTTTGTATTAATCATTTCAGGATGTTTTCAATTAAGTTAACACAAAATTTCGTTTTTGATTTAATTGAAAGCATATTTTTTACTCAAGTTATTTTAACATACTTACATTCAGAGTCCATATTGCACGATATCGAATATTACAAGGCAAATGTAGAGATCCTAAGGTAGAAACTATCTCTACGTTATGTACTACAACTAACATAGTAGGTAATAAAGTTAATTCTTTGACTTTTAATCCACCGAAGAAAATAGAATTTGTGGATAATCCATCTATGCACCTGAAAGGTAAAAGAAAAACTATATAATCTGTCAGTAAATCTCATTTAAGTAAGTATAAAGCAAAACCTTGCACTGAAAGTAAAACAACAAGATACTCAGGCTCCACATCACCTTAATGTCTATAAAATTTGATAATAGATTAATGTCAATAAAAAAAGATTTATTTTTCATTTATTTGTGTTTTTTAACTTAACAATTCTTAACGATAAATATGTCAAATCGTCATTTTGCAAAAGCTTTTTAAACGTGCTATAGATTTGTCCTGTCACCCTATACAATTAACTCAATATTCTTAGTCAAGTCTTAGTAACATTTTCAGTTTGAATTTGCCGACGATGATGTCGTGTCGGACGGTGTAAAACTCGTCAAGAAACTGCTAAAGAAACGGGAGCCTTCAGTAAGTACTTACCTTCCAACGAACAGATACAGGTGAGCGGGGGAGAGGGGGCCGCGGTCGGGAGGGGGGAGGGAGAGGGGACACGAGGCGCAAATGAGAATTCCGAGGTTCAACGATCAATTCGCGAAATGTGAACATTTCGCAAACGTCTCAACTTGGTACGGATGGGAAAGGTGCCAGTGTTAATGTCGATAATGTAGTTTGGAAGTGAAACTTCTATGTAGACGCGGGGGTTAGGATTTTGCTGTCACGAAAAAAATGGTTGCCTGTAAAGTCGGTTTTACGGGCGAAGATTTTACGTGACAACGTCTTTTTCTCGGTAGAATATTTATTGATATGAATATAATTAAATTGCACAATAGGAACAAGGAATTGAATGAAAATAAGAATTGCACAAATTTTAACTATAGAAATATATTTTGTTTACTAAAACATTGTACATGTAAACTTAAACTCATCGTAACGTTACCGAGCGTTACACTTTTTCATAAGTGACTCCCAGCCGCAACCTAATTTAAGACGTTGTCACGTCAAAAGCGTTACGGTTGTGTGGAGGGGGTAGATGATATATCGTGCGGCAGTGGCGGAGGACAGTTTCACTTCTATTATGTGTCCCATATTTATATCTCTTTTTGAAGATTTTGATAAAGTAAATAATTGGAACGAACTATTTGTCATAAAATATTTATGAACATGGAATGGAAGTAGCATGCTGATTCAAAAGTTGTCGTATTCATGAGTTATTTTCTAGTCTCTGGTATTATTGCCGACTTAATCTAGAATCCCTTAACATACCAACTGTAAGTGACAAAAACAAAAAAAATATGATGTAGCTAGATAATAACCCATTAAATAAGATAATAACCCCAAATTAAACTAAACTATAGTTTAATTTATTTATAACTTGGATTAAGATATTTTAATTTTATTAATCATATTCTGTCTTCGATCTAAAAAACTTACAAAAGACAGATTACTGACGTACATCAAGAGCTGCTTATTCTTGCAAATTACTTGTACGCAATTACAATAATTTACTGCTGTAGTGGCTGAGAAGAAGCAATCTTCATCTTCAGGCGCGCTTAATCCGAAACTGCTAATTCGTATTTTTCTTTACATAACGATGCTGGTGGTCAGATTGCTAAACAACTAAATTAGTGAGATATTTGTGTTTCAGAGCTCATGACTAAAACAAAAAAGCGTGATTGTAGTCAGGTTGGTGGTCAGAGTAACAAAAGTTAATACTTTAAGATATTTAACATAAGAATACACAAATTATTAACATTCACCTCTTAAAATTTTGGCGATGTAAATATCCTTATCGATACCTATACCCGCGCGAGGACATCACTACCGGAGCGTGGGAGCGGAGCGGAATATCTTCGCAAGCGTTAAAATGAAATGTTCGCAATTTGAATATCGCCTCGCCTCGCTGCCCCCTCCTCCCTGCGCGTCTCCTCTACCCCCTCGGACTTGATCGTAAAGTGTAAACGGTTCATGTTGTGTTCCAAAATTTAAATTCAATTAAAAAAAAAAACTAAGGTTACAAGCGAATCAAATATTTTTTTCGCTCAGTTTTAATAATTTTAATGGATGATGGTTATTATAGCTGGCGGTTAGATATTTAACTACTTAAAAATTACAGTACTGCTGTCACTTTATTTGTTTCGATTAAACGGTTCTTGAAACAATGCAACTTAGAGGAACCTAAAATCGCTACTGTATTGAAATCAAGCACCGCTGCCGGGGTCATGGTTTCAACTGAAAGTTTGTACAGGTATACCGCTACGTGTATGGTCTCTACTCGACTCAAAATTACCTGTGCAGTTGAACTGTATGAGTAAACCTGTCAGGTATACCCTAGCGTATATGGCTTGCTTTACATGTTTCCTGAGATAGTTTGTACCAAGCAGCGCTTGAAACCGGTTTCAAAAATACCGGGAAATAAAGTTTAATACCGGTTTTTAGTAAAGGTTTCGTTCGGAGCGCATCCGAAATGCAAGCGGTACCTAAAACCTTAATAAAACGGTTTAATCCAGAGCGACACGTGCACGCGTCGGCATCGCTTGAAGTTTGTTTTGTTCGAACTAATCAAGTCACAACTTGTTAATTAATGCTCAGTGATTGATGCATTTATTGACACGTTTGCTAGCGTTTAGTGAGTCAAGTTATTCATTTTGTAGTTGTGTATTTATTTCAGCCGTCAGTAAGAGCGAAATGAAACCCGTTAAAACCGCTAAATTGATTCAAAACCTATTTGATTTCGCTTTTTAGAAAAAACCGGTTTTTAAGGTTAAGGTAGAGA